TGTGAAATGGATCCAGAGGGACCCCTTTGACATAATGGTTCGTGTATATATTTTACAAAAACGTGAAATCAATGTTGGGGATAAAGTAGCCAGAAGACATGGGAATAAGGGGATCATTTCCAAAATTTTGCCTAGGCAAGATATGCCCTATTTGCAAGATGGAACACCTGTTGTTATGGTCTTCAATTCGTTAGGAGTACCCTCATGAATGAATGTGGGACAAATATTTGAAAGCTCGCTCGGATTAGCACGGGATCTACTAAAGAAACATTATAGAATAGCACCCTTTGATGAGAGATATGAGCAAGAGGCTTCAAGAAAACTTGTGTTTTCAGAATTATATGAAGCCAGTAAACAAAAAATCCATGGGTATTTGAATCCGAGTACCCGGGAAAAAGCAGAATATTTGATGGAAGAACAGGAGATCCCTTCGAACAGCCTGTTCTAATAGGGAAGTCCTATATCTTAAAATTAATTCATCAAGTTGATGAGAAAATTCATGGACATTCTACTGGGCCCTACTCACTTGTTACCCAACAACCCGTTAGAGGAAGAGCCAAGCAAGAGGGATAATGAATAGGAGAAATGGAAGTTTGGGCGTTAGAAGGATTTGGTGTTGCTCATGTTTTACAAGTGATACTTACTTATAAATCTGATCGTCTTATAGCTCGCCAAAAAATACTTAATGCTACGATCTGGGGGAAAAGAGTGCCTAATCACAAGGATCCGCCAGAATCTTTTCGAGTGCTCGTTCGAGAACTATGATCTTCAGCTTTAGAACTGAACCATTTCCTTGTATCTGAGAAGAACTTCCAGGTTAATAGGGAGGATGTTTGATCGGAATAATTTTTTTTTCTTATTTCTATTTTATGATTGACCAATATAAACATAAACAACTTCAAATTGGACTCGTTTCCCCTCAACAAATAAAGGCTTGGGCTAAAAAAATCCTACCTAATGGGGAAGTCATTGGCAAAGTCACAAGGCCCTCCACTTTTCATTATAAAACCGATAAACCAGAAAAAGATGGATGGTTTTGCGAAAGAATCTTTGGACCCACAAAAAGCGGAATTTGTGCTTGTGGAAACTCTCGAGTGAGCATAGCTAAAAACAAAGACGAAAGATTTTGCCAAAAATGCGGGGTAGAATTTGTTGATTCTCGGATACGAAGATATCAAATGGGATACAACAAACTAGCATGTCCAGTGACTCATGTGTGGTATTTGAAAGGTCTTCCTAGCTATATTGCGAATCTTTTAGATAAACCCCTTAAGAAATTGGGGGGGGGGGCTAGTATATGGTGATTTCTCTTTTGCTAGGCCCAGCGCTAAAGAAACTATTTTCTTACGATTACGGGGTTTATTCAAAGATGAAATTTCATCCTGTAACCACAGTATTTCTCCCTTTTTTCTACCCCAGGCTTTGCAACATTTCAAAATCGAGAAATTGCAATAGGAGCAGGTGCTATTAGAGAACAATTAGCGATTTAGATTTGTGAATTATTGTAGAGAATTCTTTGGTTGAATGGAAGGAATTAGAAGACGAGGGGTATAGTGGAGATGATTGGGAAGATAGAAAAAGACGAATAAGAAAAGTTTTTTTGATTAGATGCATGCAATTGGCCAAACATTTTATTCAAACAAATGTAGAACCAGAATGGATGGTTTTGTGCTTATTACCGGTTCTTCCTCCCGAATTGAGACCCATTGTTTATAGATCTGGGGATAAAGTAGTGACTTCATATATTAATGAACTTTATAAGAGAGTTGTTGTAATACCCTAAAATTTGCTACTTTCAAAATAAAGTTAAATTGATTTATTATTGAATTTTTTGCACATGAAATATAGAAAAAGAATAATTTTCATTATATTAAAATTCATCATAAGGTGTAGCAACATGTTTGTGCATACATGATGGTGCATTTGATTTATTTGGTTGAGTGGTTTTGATTAAAATTCAAATGGTTTAAATTGCTTTTTGAAAATGAATTTGAATATGGCCTTGAAATAAAAGAAAAGGAAAATAAAAGAGAATTGGAAAAAAGAGTTTTCAAAAGTTTGCAAAAGTTCAGTTTTGGAAACATCCCAAAAGTTCTCATTTTAAAAAGTATATTTGAAACTAAATTTGAATTTAATTTGGATCATATTTGAATTTGGTTTGAAAAGGAAATTAGAAAAGGGATTTGAAAATGGAAAACCATCTCCCTCCCATTTTTGGCACGAAGGCCCAAATCCTCTCCCTCGGCCTCCCCTCTCCCTCTCTCTCTCAAAGGCTGCACCACGCGCCATGGGCCACAGTGGCAACGGCCCACGTGGGCACCCACCTCTGCTTTCCCCCCTTCTCTTGGCCTGCTGGCCCACACCCTCAGCCCCGCTTCCCACTCCAAGCTAGCCCAGCAAGCAGCGACAGCACGCGCATTGCCGTTTCCCCTCCTTCGGCTGACAGGTGGGTCCGCATCTTGAGTCATCGACAAGCAGGCCCCTCTTGTTAGTCTCCCTCTTCCTTTCCTTCTTCCTCCTCCGGCTCCTTCATAAAATGGAAGCCGGGCTTTCCTTTCCCTCGCATGTCGGTATTATTCAGTATTTCGTGGTACTGGGGTGTAGTACTGACTGATACTAAACGCGATTCAGTAGTACTCAGTATTTTTTCTAGTTTAGTACTAGGGTTTAGAATAGCGCTGCCGTGTATATATACACACACACGACTATCACATGAATCTCCGAGCCATGAGTTGCACGGCTAACCGAGTAGAAACATGTATGATCCGTTGAAAACATGTACACGTTTGGTTAGTTAATATTAGATAAAAATTTAAAAGAATCCAACAAAATGAACGTACTATTGACCATCTTAAGATAAAATTAGATGTTTCTATGTTTCTTGTAAGAAAGGTTCATTTACCAGGATTTGTGTGATGTCTGGTAGCCATAATAAGCTACTACTTTCTCAGTCCTATAAAATAGCGCATTCGAGCATTCAAAGATTATAGCCAAACATAAAGAATTTTAGGGGGACAAAACAATTTTGTATTAAATAGTTGTATAACTTTAGTAGGTATTATATTGTTACTTATCATCTATTAACCAATCACCATTAATCATATTGATGATAACATCTGAATGGGAAATAAAGTGATGGTACATGCGTCTTTTGTGTTTTCTCTTAATTTATACTAAAATCTAAAAAATACACTATATTATACTCCCTCCATCCCTAAAAGAATGCAATTCTGGAACAATGTCATGTTCTAGTATATAAGTTTGACCAATTATAGATAAAAAAATATAAATATTTATACTATCAAATAAATACTATTAGATTAATTACGAAATGTATTTTCATAATAAATTAATTTGGAGCTATAAATATTAATACTATTTACTAGATATCTAGTCAAACATGAAGCACTTTAACTATCACACATACTATAGTTGCATCTAAGGTTTTCATTATCAGAAATAAAAATTTATTGGAGGTCATGGATAAATTAGATAAACATGATATATCGGAAATATCGGACCGAATTAAAAAAAATCAAATTGTTTTGAAAAAATTCGTAGAATTTGATTTGAAACTATTCCTAAACTATTAGTCATCACTCGTTCATAGATAAATTAAAAATAAAACATTATGAGTGCGGGATCGTCGCGCGTGAATTTGGGCCATCTGTGTAGAAAAAGGAAAAAACGGAAAAATTTGGCCGATATCTAATTTTATCGGACCCTACGGGTAGAACGGAACGGAAATTTCGATGAAGTTCGGTTGATAAAGTTAACCCTGGTTGCATCCTTTTGAGGACAAAGGTAGTAGGACAGATGAAGTAGCCTTTTAAGTAATGACTTATAATGATACTTCCTCTGTTATGGAATACAAGACATCCTAGAAATTTTAGGACATACTCCCTCCGTCCCTATATAACTATCGCCATGGGTGTGCGTACCATAAGTTTGAAAGTGCGTATAACATTTGTATCTCCAAACAAATTTATTAAAAAACTAGATTCAAAGATCTTTCCAATAATACTAATTATGTATCATAAATATTAATATTTTTTAATATATATTTAGTCAAAGTTGTTTCTTGGGAAGCAAAAACGACAGATACTTAGGGACAGAGGAAGTATTATGGTAAACTAAATACATATATAATCTTTTATACTAGTTATTATATTTGTGTTAGTATAGAAATTAATGATAGTTATACATGTGAATGAAAATGTTGACTTTTTAAAATTGAGTTAGAGGATTATTTCACCTAAAAGTTGATATCTTATTTAAGGATGGAGGGAGTATATGGCTCGGCACTATCTTTTTTTTTTGGTTTGGATATTGTAGATTGCAACCCAGATCTTTATAATCTGGAACTTGTTGGTCAAACTAAAACAACCAGGATATGGGTATGGGTAGTTCTAATCTGGAACTTTTAGATTGTAATAACAAGCTAAAACAACCAGGATATGGGTATGGGTAGTTCTAATGTCATCTTTGATCGAGACTTTACGCTATTCGTCGTGTTCGCTTGAACTTATCAGTCCGATTTTTCAGTCAGGGTATATTGTTTTTCTCTTACAACAAAACAGTATCAGCCGGCTTATCAGCCTAAAAACCATCAGTCTAACACTGTTTGCTCCTCGTGTTGCTTGCAACGATTTTGAGAAGTTTATTTATTCGTGGTTGGATTATTGGAAACTGCTGACGGGAGTGGGATCCCATGGCAGTGATAAGCGTGTTGGTGAGCATATACTAGCACCTAGTCGGTGTCAACACTCAGCACGACCCGCTCTTTTCTGCCTCTTGCTGCCCTTTCCAGATCAATTCAATTCAAACCCAACCGGATCAGATCATTTCTCCCCACCCCGACGGCCCCACCCCACCCCTTCTCTCTTCCTCCAATGACCCACCTGTCAGCCCAGCCGGAGAACGCCGCCCACGTCCCCGGCGTGCCGCCGCTGTAATTCTTCCTCCTCCACCCACCGCTGCACCTCCGCGCCTTGCCACCGATGGACCCCGTGTCCGATCCGCTCTCTATCTCCACCTCCGCCCCGTTCCCTACCATCCCGGCTGCCTCAAGCTCCAGGCCCCGCGCCGCGAGGACTCGGCGCCACGCCGCGCCCTTCTGGTCGGACCATCCCGCCACCGCGAGCCGGCGCTCCGGGATCGATCTCCCGCGCCGTCCTGCGGCCTCCGCCTTCTCCCAGCAGGAGGGTTCTCTTTCCGTGGGCTCCTGGGGCGCCTCTCGCGACGCCAACTTTGTGTTCGGGAGTGGCGTGGCCGGGGCGCCGGAGATGAGGAGGAGCTTCTCGTCCGGATCCGGTGAGGCATCGTTGGCTGAGCTTTCGGACGCAGTTCACAGGCTCTCGTTGGATGGTTATGGCAGGCGAAGCGACATTATTGATGCTCCCGGAGGAGAAGATACGCTTCCAGTGATAGACACCGGCGATAGCTTTGGGGCCCGTGGATGCAGTTCCACTTTGTATGAGGGTTCCTGTCTGGATTCTGTGCACCATCAGATCGAGCAGCTCGATGAAGGACGTGGAGTCCCGCCTCAAACCATGCAATGCGAGAGTGTGGGGATGCGATTGTTAGCTTCACCAACCTGCACTGATGAGAATGCTCCCTTTGCATTTGCAAGGAGCGGGGACAGCTTGCCCATTCGAGATTCTGTGGATGAAAGTAAAAGTTCTGGACATGGTGGTAATGCCCACCATGATTTCTTTGTTTTTGGTGGACATGCCGGGTACAGTAGCCTGGCTACCAATGCAACTGAAACTAATATCAGTGAGGTACATTCAGCTGACAAAGAAAGTGTAACATGTAACTCTGAACAGCTAAATACTTCAGTTGCTAAAGACAGAACTTGCACCAAGTTCATTTTGCAGGATGCAAAGCATGTGTTTGGTTCAAGTGATAATGATCTTCCACACTTGGAACCTTGTGAAGTTTCTACCATGGTGGAAACATCGGATACTGTAACCTCTAGCTTTGGATCTGAAGACGGGATTGTGAAAGTTTCTTCCATAAAGGTGCCTTGTGATATTGAAGCAGTAGCAGCATCAGAACTTGTTGAATGTCGGCCATTTGATGAGAAATCTTTCACTTTTGACGACCACAATGTAGTATCTAGGAACAAAGGAGGGGTTAAGGGTATGAGCATGAACAGAAGAGCTTTTATGCCAAAGAAGTCCTCAGCCAACCAGGCTTCTTCCTTGCAATCAGTCTCAAGAAGTGGCCATTGTTCTGGAGAAGTGTCTCCTGAAGAAAAGTTAAATTTGAAAGAAGCCAGTAGCTTGGTATCAGAGGACTCTGGTATCAACTGTGCCCAAGTTGATTCTATCAACTCTTTGCGAACAACAGAAAGTGGGCATGCTGAAACAGAGTTTACCTCTGCAGCAAACACAGAGCATTCTGGTAAATCTGATTTCATATTTTCTGCATCAACTTTCAACCAAAGCATGTTGCACTCACAAAGACGACATAACAAGAAAAAAAGTGGAGGAATGGGTAATCATGCTAGCTCTATTCAAAGCCTCCCTTCATCCGCCATTGGACTTGCATGCTCAGAAGTCTCAGGAAGTCAGCAATGTATGGATTTAGCTGCCCAGTGGACTGAATACAGCAAAATAGAACCTAACAGGGTTACAATCAGCAGAGGAGCCGAATTCTCAACGTCAGAAAACTTTGGAGACCATGACAATTGTGAAACATGGCGATTAAGGTACCTCCATGACCTACTCTTTTGTCACCCTTCAGCTTATTTAGCTAGGATGCACTTCTACAAGGGTTGAGCTGAACCACTCAAATCATGCAAGTAGTGGCAGAACACCTTGCAAAGCCATTTAGAAGTTCGGTTATATAGACTTTTTACAGTTCAGCATTTGGTTTGTCGGTTATATATATTTTTTGTTTATCTCTACTTAGAAAATATTGATTACACAACGTTTCGCTGGATTGCTGGTCAAAAAGTAGATTTCCATGCATGGTAGATTGCTAGTAATATTTATGACTAATAAATAATAAAAAGAGAAACATATTATGAGTTTTATTGGGAGATTGAGTGGCTTTACTGTTTGCGCTTCATTCACAAGGTACTGTAGTTACTGCAGTTCACGATTGGTACTGTTTCACCGTCTGGTTGGGATTGCTTGGGCTGTATGTTCTTTGTGGTATATTCAATGTTTTAAAGCTGAACTGCGTATTTTGTTGTAGGGGAAACCAAGCATATGCAGAAGGACAGTTAACTAAGGCTGAAGAATGCTATACCCATGGGATTGATTGTTTTTCTCCAAATGAAGTTTCAAGAAAAGCATTAATGCTGTGCTACAGCAATCGAGCAGCTACTCGGATGTCTCTGGGTAAGATGAGAGAGGCCCTATCTGATTGTCGAGCAGCTATTGATATTGATTCCAGCTTTCTCAAATCTCAAGGCACAAGCCAGAGCCGCCAAGTAAGACCAATGCGCTAACTTCAACACTAAACTATTGGAGTTTGTATTATAATTCATGTTAAATCTATTCAGACAAATTTGCAGTACTGATATTTTGTCTTATTGGAAATCCAAGGAAACATCCTACTATTTTGACGAGTTTTCTTGGGATTAGATTCTTAACTCAACCTAACTGATATATAGTGTTGCATCCAGATCTCAAAGTAAATAAATATTTCATGCAATTGAGTTTAAGATCCGATAATACCTTAACATGTCCAACTCCTGCTCATAATTTGTGTTTTCATGTTGCTGACTTTGGGAAGGGTGCTACTGGCCTTGCTATTTTGATATCCATAATCTTACCGCGAACTATTTACGAAGGCAGAAGTGATTTATAAAATTATCTTAAGATAAGGTCCATTTAATAACTAATGTTTAATGATACATTTAGCTAGTCGCTAGTGTGTAGCACCCTTACTATTAAATTCTACATTATTAATATATTAACTTTGTGTATGCTACTTTGCTTATCTAATGAGTCTAGCTGCCTACTTGCCCTGGGGGATGTTGAAGAAGCACGAAAGGCTTTTTAGATGTGTTTGAAGTCTAATCATCTATCAAGCTTGGACCATAAAATTGTAGAAGAGGCTTCTGATGGTCTACAAAAAGCTAAGGTAGCATACAGACTAAATTTCTGCTACCATGCCAGATTTTTCAGGTTAAATGCAACCCAAATTAACTATTACCTCCGTTCCAAATTATAGGTTGTTTTGGCTTTTGTAGATACATAGCTGTTACTATGTATCTAGAAACCACGTATATCTAGGTGCATAGCAAAAGGTCTATACCTAGAAAAGCCAAAACGACCTATAATTTGGGACGGAGGGAGTACCTTTTGAACAGTTATTTCCATTGCGTACATGATAACTACCCAACAACATTGTCAGCAAACCGTTGGCAACATTTTGCTAACGTACCATCGGCTGTTATAGTGATAAGTGGGGCTTGATCCTGCACGTCATTGACACATTCAGTGTTATATTTGTCAAACTGTGACTTTTAAGAAGTATGAAAGAAAATCTATTTATGAGGAATGTACATATACAAGGTCGACTGTATTGGGTAATGCGTGTCTAGATTCTGCACCCAACTTTACTGTTCTTAGAGAACATGTTATCAAAATAATTTGCTATATGGAACTTGATAACCTAATCATCATGTTCCCGTATTTTTTTGGCAGAAAATATCTGGTTTAATTATTGAATCCAAGGAGTATCTTATAAAGAAGGCATTTGACAAGATACCCAGTGCCTTACAAATGATCTCTGATGCTTTGTCCATAAGTATTTATTCAGATAAGTTCATGGCGATGAAAGCAGAAGCACTGTTACTGGTCTGTATTTACGGTAAACTTATTTTGCCTTGTGCACATCATTACTAAGTTTCATCTTTCCTCTGGTATTTTTTGGCCTAACTGTTAGTTTTGTTGGACTTTAACAGTTGCAGCGATATGAAGAAGTAATTCGGTTTTGCGAAGAAACTCTTTATGTAGCAGAAAGGAATAGTGTGTGTTTGTGTCTTGACAAGCATTCAGAAAGCGATAACTTGGACAACAATACTTTCTCTGTGAAGTTGTGGTGTTATCATCTTATTGCTAAGTCATATTTCTTCCTTGGAAAGCTTGAAGAGGCTAACCAGTTCTTAAAGAAGAATGATCAAATAAAAGTCATGGGATGCAGGTAATTTTTTGTTACCAATGCAATACTAGTTTGGGTTGTTTCCAATTTCTATGTATAACTGCTAATTTTGAGAGAACACTAACTAGGTGTGGGAAGCAATCTCAGGACTCAATTCTATCATTCTCCATGGTTATCTCTGAACTACTGCGCCTTAAAGTACGTCATATGTTGGCCTTGGGCTACTAATCTATCTATCCATGCATTTCAGCATTCTCTTTGCTCTGTGATGTTGTTATATATCATGTGCGTACATGATGTCCTTGGTATTCAGCAAAGTTTGCAAGAATTTTACACTAATGACATCAAATTCTTGTTTGCTACATTTCAGGCTGCTGGCAATGAAGCATTCCAATCTGGTAAATATTTGGAGGCTGTGGAACATTATACTGCTGCTTTGATGAGCAATAGCGAGTCACTACTCTTTTTAGCAGTCTGCTTTTGTAACCGTGCAGCAGCATATCAAGCAATGGGTCAAATTTTAGATGCAATTGCAGATTGCTCACTGGCTATAGCCCTTGATGCAGATTATGCTAAGGTTGGTGTATTATCCTCCCGTTGTATCCAATAAAAATGCTCGTATGACTATGTTCTCCAACTCTTTCTAGACAAAACCACCTGTTTTCGTTGTTCGAGGAAAAAAAACCCACCTGTTTGATATTGTGCTGTGATGCCCATTTGTTTTATCATTTGCTTGAGCTGGCCATGCTTTCCGTTTTGTTAGCTCATATACTGAATTTTTTCCTATATTTCCTTGCTTGTTCTGATGCATGAGAAATGAAGCCCTTTGAACTTTTGGTTGCTATTTTCAGCTTAATTTTACCCCAGACTAAGTAGATAATGATATATGGATAATGGTTATGACCTGTGGCTTTCTATCTCATCCATAGGCATGCTCCAGATAGATTTTGTGCTCAATTCCACAGTGTAGTTTCAAAAACTTGGCCGGTGAGGGAAAGACCACCCCCACAGTATTTTACTAAGAAGAGCTCAACTGGAGCCCGGCCGAGAAGAGCTCATACATGGGGATGCCGCCCCCTATGGTTCGCCTTAACCCGTGCTCTGAGGCCCAACCCACTACCAGCCCCTTACACAAGGGCCTGCCCACCATAGGTCGGTTCACCCATGCCGACCAGGGGAACCAGTGAGTCACCTTTTTTTACCCAGCCTGAAATTTGCTCCCACGGGGATTCTTCGCACAGTGTAGTTTCATATTTATTCTTCTTTTTAATTAGTGGGTTGCCATGAGTTACTGGTGATTCTTCTTGAATAATCAATGGGAACAAGCAACAGCCATGCCTATGTAATGAAATGATACTACTTTTCCCATCTTTTGTATTTACATTTACACTTTATGGTTGGGGGGACTCTTTTAGTCCTTTTAATCATTTGAACTGCAGATCATTATTGTGTGGAGGTCATCTTTCTTCATGTAAATTTGGTGATTGGCTAAACTAATGTTTGATATGAACCTTAGAGCATTGACTTAATACTTTTCAATATGCACAGTAATACCATTTCTGAAATTAGTTAGCTAGGACCATGGAAAATGTGTATAGATTGGATAATGTCATCCAATGTGAAGTTTGACACATGGTTCCTCCAACCACATGGTAGTAAATATTAGATGGTATTTTCAGTGTGGGTCCCTAGAATAGCATGGCAGTAAAACATTAATCCATGAATTCAAGTTCTTCCTGTAAAAATGTAACCTATTGTGCTTGCTATGTTTTATGTTTTTAGGCTATTTCCAGAAGATCTAGTTTGTATGAACTTATAAGGGACTATGGTCAGGCAGCAAATGATCTCCGTAGGTTAATTGCTCTTCTTGAGAAACAACTGCAAGAAAATATGACCATACCACTAGAAAAGACTGAGAGTATTCGTAACAATCTGAATCGAGCCAATCTTCGGTTTTCTTCTCTGGAGCGGGATGCCAGAAAAGGGGCTTCATTAAATATGTATTTGATATTTTAAGTATTTGTCCTTTGCAATTTGTCTATAACATACATAATTATATTTTTAACTATTATTTTTCACGATTTAGTCTTGCATGTTAACTCTGAAATAACATCTTGATTTAGTATTCTTTCTTTAGATGGGTGCTTTTGATATTTTTTCCTTGATCACACAGGAGAGCCGTGTATCTTTGTATGAGAGAAAAAAATGGACCGTTACAACACAACCCCCATAATCTCAGTTAAGAGAGGGTTGCAGAAAGTGAATAAAAAACGATCATCTGATACAAAAAGATCAAACACAACCTAAACTGGACTAATCAAGTTAATCCTAAACCATGACCTATGCTCAACTCCTAAAGCTTTTTATCTCCAGTCAGGCACCACAGATTCAACTCCTCCCTGAAAAACCGATGGGCCTCCATGAGAGAAGGGGATGCATACTCAAAAGCACATTTGTTTCTATGGAGGTACAAAGTCCAAGCCCTAAAATTACAGCACCATTAAAGCCTTAACTGGAAGGTTTCTCGACCGTTGGACTCACTTTTCTCCTCCACTCGGCAAAGTTCTGACACTGCTCCTTGGAGTAACACAACCAAGAGGAGCGAACAAATTGTGCCAGAACTGCCTTGCAAACACACAATGTTGAGTATGTGTAGAGCAGATTCTTCTTTCTGGTCACAAAAAATTGAACTTCTCGCTTTCCAAGAAATTAATCAAGTTCAGGTTTGACTAAGTTTATAAAAAGTAGTATCAACATTTATGTCTCCAGATAGGTTAACTATGAACATATATTCCATAATTAATCTAATGATACTTATTTGGTATCATAAATGTTAGTACTTTTTTTGTATAGATTTAGTTAAACTTGAAATTGGTTGACTTTTTGGAAAACGAGGAGTGCACTCTTTTTGGGACAGAGGGAGTAGGTTGATAACACAAGATTGACATTCATAATGAAAGAAGCTCAATAATATCTACCTCTTTCCATTTAAGATAACATCTTTTTTCGATAGACATAACTAGTCAGTCTCATAATGGAGACCGTGTCAATGTCCTAATGGACTTATATTTGTGATCAGAGGAAGTTAGTTTATAGAAATCCTGTTTGCAGTATTGTCAACTCCAACCCCCACATTGCCACCCAGAGTTGGATAATTGCCTGCCAAAATTGACACCCATTTGTGCACCCCTATGGATGGGAGCTGTTTTTTATGCCTAATCTTACCTCCAAGGTTGGTTATTTTACTTGGTTCATTCAGCTGATGAGTGGTGGAAAGTAGTTTAGGGCATGCTAGAGCAGAGGAAATTCATGTGCTTTTGGTGGAAACAAAGTTCACATGTTCATACAATTATTTGACAATATACTTCCTTCTTTCAGAGGAATCGAGCCTTCTTCCTCTGCTGTGGATATAAAGAAGGCATACCGCAAAGCAGCACTAAGGCATTATCCAGACAAAGTATTGTATTTTTTTTCTCTATTGTGACTCTCATTGTTCTCTTGTCTAACAGTAGTTATGCCACAGGCCAGTACATTTCTTGTCAGGAGTGAAAATATCAGCGATGCTGTATGGAGAGATATAACAAATGAAATCCGCAGGGATGCCGATTATTTATTCAAAATAATTGGAAAGGCATATGCTATGCTTTCAGATCCTACAACGGTATGCATCACTGAGATATCTTTCATATTTTTTCTTTGCTCTTGTTACTGGTGTTGTATTTTTTTACTTTCTTTTTACCAGAACTTTCATGTCAAATGAGTGGGCATTATTTTGGATGAGATTTATCCTGCCTGATGTTGTTAATTACAATAGACCAAGCATTGCGATTATAAGTCAAATGTAGCAAATTATATAAAAAAACAAGAGTTAAATATACTGGCGGCCCTTAAACTTGTGCCTCTGTGCCAATTAGGTCCACAAACTCTCAAAGTCGAAATTCGCCTCCCTAGACTTGTTAAATTGTGCACGGGAGGTCCAAACCCCTTGGGAGCACGCTGACTAGGATAAATTTTATAAAAAACACCCTGCCTTGGTCATCTTCTACCCGTAAGTGTCGTTGCTCGCGCGGCGCGGGGTGGACAACATGCTGGCCAAGGCCCCGGACACACCAAGCTGCCGCTTCGCTTCCAGGGAAGGTGCGCATCCTCACACTGCACTCAAGTCCATAGGCTTGAGGCCACCCACCGGGTATGGGGTGACCGAGCCGCCGGGCCTTGCCACCAGCCGCCGTGTTCGCGCGCTGCGCCGTCTTTGCCGCACCGCACAAGTCCATAGGCTTCGAGGCCACCCACGGTACCGGGCGACCGAGACGGGCGGTGGTGGTGTCTTCTGGCGGTGGTGTCGAAGGAGCGGAGTGGAACAAGCTGCCTGGCGTGGCCTTGTGGCAACTCAAGGCTAAGCGCGCGTCTGCGCGGCGACATCCTTGGCGGCGAGACGCGCGCGCGCGGCCATGGCCGAGGTCGACATCTCTCGGCGGCGAGATGCCGGCCAGCTCAACGCGAAGGCCACCAGCGATCGTCCACGATGGAGGTGGAGTCGTGCTCTAGATCGTGTGCGAACTGCGGTGCGGTTGCGCCATGCTCGGCTACCTCAACGACGAGAAGGCCACCGTGGCGTGATCATCGTGCCCAAGGGGAGAACATCAAGAACGTGGAGGTGGAGTCCGTGCTTGCTACAACCACCGCGTGAACTAGGTCAGCTGGGCGGTGGCGGGGACACGCGGACGACATTCGGGGTGAGACGCCGTGTGCGTTCGTCAGAGCCTCAAAGAGGAGGGATAGTCGGGTCCGCCGCGAAGCGGTGATCGGGCGATATGCGTCATAGCGTGGTGCCGGACCGCATGCCGCACTACATGGTGCCTAAGACTACCGTGGTGCACGTGCTCGCCGAAGCCCATGTCCATGCCGCCCAATATCTCTACCGGAAGATACAAAACCCGTACGTCATCCGGAACCTTGCCAAGGAGATGGGGCCAACTCGTCGCAAGAAGCGCCCGCCTATGGTAGAGATGACTATAGCAGGTTGTAGTGCTAGTCTGCATGTCTTGTCCGTGCTTGGCTCAGACAGACATGGACACGCCAGTGCTATGACATGAACATATGTGTTTTTTATAAAATTTTATTCTAAGCTTTACCATTGCTGCGCATGGCGTTTAGGGGCATTCATTTTCTTGAGATCAGCAAGCCCTCTTTACCGATTTGTACTTGACTCAAAGGATTTCGATAGTGACACTAACTAAGAACATTCCCCCTAGCATGGCAGCTGGTTTCATCTGTGGTGTTTTATGCTGTCATCTGGTGTGTCAATCTGGACCCACCTGAAGCTCTGCATCATCCTTTATCTCCTCTGCTGTCTCTATTATTTTGCTGCAGCCCAAGGAAACTGTTGCATTGCGTGCCATATGCTCAGGCAGCTACTGCAGGCCGAGAGATAGAGTGAACCCGTGGTCGACCTCAATGCGAGCTTGTCATCGCGAGGGGCTCCAGGTCAAGGCGGCGTGGTGCAGTACACGGAGGCGCCCCAGATGCTGCTATGTGCCTTCATCACAAGCACCTATGGTGAGACCACATCAGCGACTCTTCTGCAAGGTCTGGTTGGAAGCCCATGTCCGGATCTGGCGGCGCCTCTTGTAGAAGTACCTCTCCTCGAGGCGGCAGGAGGCGGCAGCAATCAGTTGAGCACGGACCGAGATATGGGGGCGAGGTTCCAAAAAAAATACGGTGGCATAAAAAATTATCCACCGAGGGATTAAAAATCTCGAGACGCTTTAAGAGGTAGTTCAACCACCCTCCGGAGGAAGCTGTTGACTTTTCTAGGTATATAGATTTTGCTATGCACCTAAATATATGATATGTCTACATACATAAAGAAGTAATCCTAGAAATATCAAAACGCGGTATAAATTGGAACGGAGATGAAATTTCTAAATTGAGATAAAGTGCTAAATGGTGCTCTCACATTAGTTTTTTATGCCCGCGGGCGGGGCGAGAAAAGCCGTCTAGAATTGATGAGAGGAGCGTGTCCCTAGTGCGAGAACTAATGAGATCTACTAATAACTGCGGTCGCTGCCTCCTAGGGTTTGCGCCATGCGCTTGCTCTCCGAGCGCGGCGCGTCCAGAGGAGCGGCGATGGCGGCGAGGAAGAGTACGGCGACGACGGCATCATTAACGAGCATGAAGGTGAAATCAACGATGAGGTCGAGGAGCGTGAGCATACTTCGGGACCACGATTGTTTTTGGTGGTCTCTCCACAGGCCCCCGTGATCGCTTGTTTGAAAAAAGAAGCTAAAACATTGTTCCGGCTGAATTGTTGTGAGAGAAAAACATTGTTCCAGCTGAAAAAAAGAATTGTTTGTGTTCAGGAGACTAAGATCAAGCCATATCCCAAGGGTCATTCTCTTTTCTCTCGGTCACCACACGGGTGCTTAGCAGCGCCTCGGCGGGCTAGCTTGCCTCTGGACCTCGGGCCTCGGCCTGTGCAGTGCTTTCAGCTGTCACGTCGTCCACGTGGTACTCGTACAGCGTCTCCCAAGGGGTGGGGAAGGAGTGCTATGGTAGATGATGACTATAGCAGGGTGTTTTTTATAAAATTTTATCCTAGTCAGTGTGCTCCCAAGGGGTATGGACCTCTCGTGCACAACTTAACAAGTTTAGGGAGACGAATTTCGACTTTGAGAGTTTGTGGACCTAAGTGACACAGAGCCACAAGTTTAAGGGCCGCTGGTGTACTTAACTCAAAAAACAATTAAAGGAACAGTAACTAAGAACATGCTTCCCCCCTAGCCTGCCTGCAGCTGGTTTCTATCCAATGTGGCACTGATTTATGCTGTCATCTGGTTTTGTGCCATATCACTCAAGTTGGACCCACCTGTAAGCTCTGCATCATCTACTTTATCTCCTCTGTCTGTCTCTATTATTTTGATCTGCAGCCCAAGGAAACTGTTGCATGTGGCCATTGAGCTGTACAGCTGCTGGCTCAATGAGCCATATGCTCGGTGCAAGAGAGGGCAGCAGCT